CGGTACAGAGAACGCATCTGTAAAAAGCGCCAGGGAAAAGAAATCTCTCCGTTTGCGGTACAAAAACACTTATGTATAGTCTCTTTAACAATAGACTTCTACGTATTCATTGTATCCAAATCCCATCATTTTATATCAACTACAATTCTGGTCTGCTTACAACAAAACGGCTTTAGCCAGATGATCGCTGTCTAACGGTCCTCTGTAAGTGATTTCGTCAGAATCTTTACTGTGGAAAAACAATGGCAAGAGGTCGGTTAGCACCGAATACTCCCAAAATTTCTCTGAATTTACTGCTCTCCCGATGTTGCAAGAATTTCCCTCAAAATAGATTAAAAGCTAAGAATATCGTTAAAGAAGCACTGGTTTTTCATAGTGGTGAAATACGATAATAACAAATATCATTTTTGTTACAAATTAGTGACAGCAAAAGGAGCCGTATGGCAACGGGCCGCCGAGGGACTTTATCATAGAAATTTCCCAAACCACAGAAGGGAACACCAAAGAGACGAGACCAAAGCGAAAAGAGCATGATAAAGATTATTACGAAATGTAAAGAACAACTTTTAATCATTTTAAACGATTTTTTTAAAGATAGACAAGCCACGTACCAGATCCATAAAACCCTTTTAATCTTTTGTTTTACGGAAATCAAGAATTATTGCGTTTAGACCACATCATAGGAAAAGGCTGTTACTTCTCAGGAATCAGGTGACACTTACCGGTACATCTTGATTGTGGGATAAATCGTAATGTTATTCGACTGGCAAACATCGGTCCAATCAAAACAATTCACACGAGCCAATTTGATGGCGAAGTTTCCCACATCCAAATTTCCTGTTCGAAAGACAATAAATAACGCCACTTTATGTCACAATTGACCACTTCATGCGCAGAATCTCGCTCGAAAATACTCCTTACTTTAATTTTGGGAGAGAAATATGGATTAAAAATTAATTGAAATATTTTTCTTAGTTTCATTTGAGTGATCATGCCTTAGATGACCGTTCAATACAGGTAGAAGACAATAAAAATAGGCCGTTGGAACTCAGTAATAGACGTGAAAATTACTGTGATTATGAGGAATCAAATTCGGGACTTTGACAACTGACCGCTAAATACAGGGTGACCGCTTAGTACAGGTTCGATGAGTAGTAAGTTTTGCAGATACTTACTTATGTGTGTAGCAGCATCAACATATGGTTGTAGAAAAGCTTTACAACGTGCATCCCCTGAAAAGAAAATGAAATGAAAGAAAGTAAATTTCACGAAAAAAGCTAAAAAAAAATTACATGTAAATCTAATTGCTGCAGTCTAACGGTTAGATTTGGTCGGGTCAAAGTGTTGTGTTCTTGGGCAAAACACTTTACTGTCCTCATGCTCTCTCCACCCGGGAGTATAAATGGGTACCAGTGAATGGTCAAAAAAAGACTGAAGAAATACAGGGGAACATCAATCTGCCTTGGACTGGCATCCCATCCAGGGGGGATAAAACTTGAGTTATAATAATCAAGATTGGAAACAGGAAGGGCAAAATACAATTGCCCAGCAGCAAAGAAAAACAACTACAATAGAGAAAGCAACAACACATGAACACGATGAGGAAGAACATCTTAATAGGTCGAATGATAGGTTTTCATCGCTTGTCTCACGATGAAGTCACTTTTGATGGGCACGGCGACGTTTGGACAGCATAAATCGAGTCTTCTTTAGAAAATTAAGTCAAGAGGCCACAAGTCATCTTGCAAAACATATTGGTGCGCTTCAAATGGTTGGTATTTGACAGAAGTGACTAAATCGTGAGACAAACGATACTTTCTTCTATTTGTTGTATTTTGATGCGACAAATCACCACATCAAGAGGTGACATCAGAGTTAAGATACAATTTCATAATTTGCCGAAGCAACTTACATGGTTGGAAGAAGTCCACTACCAATAGATCATTTTCTTTCTTGACGGTATCAAACGTTTTGTCAGTCAATGCAGGCACCAGGGTCTCAGGTACAACAGTGGGTTTTGCCTTTAGAACTGCCTCAGAAACTTCATCGTCTTCTGTCTCTTCCTCTGAAATACAGTTAAAAGAGGAAAAAGAAAAATGAAACAACAACGACAAAAAAAAAACAGTATTGGAATAACCCAAAGGACTAAGAAGCGAAGAAACGACGGGTCGAGGGGACGAATAGAAAAAAAAAAAGAGGGGACGAAGGGACGAAGGAACGATGGGACGATGGGACGATGGGACGAAGGGACGAAGGGACGAAGGGACGAAGGGACGAAGGGACGAAGGGACGAAGGGACGAAGGGACGAAGGGACGAAGGGACGAAGGGACGAAGGGACGAAGGGACGAAGGGACGAAGGGACGAAGGGACGAAGGGACGAAGGGACGAAGGGACGAAGGGACGAAGGGACGAAGGGACGAAGGGACGAAGGGACGAAGGGGTTGAACAGACGAAAAGGCAAAGGGACGAAGGAACGAATTGAGGAGCGGAAGATACTCAGCAGCATAAGAGGTAATCGGCAGACTGTTTCATGTACACTTGGTGCTGCTCAAGCTGATCTAAACCTGGTTTAATCCCAAGCTACACTTTACTTTCGCGAAACGAGCATCATACCTGGTAAATAAACTTCATCCACAGATTCTTCACTGCTTTGAGATGTCTCCGATTCGCTCTCCTCCTCCTCGTCTAGTTTGTCGATATATTCTTCGCTATCTTCGTTTTCTTCGTTGGTGTGTGGGAATGAAATTAGTGCCTCATCTGACAAGCTTGCAGGCAGTGAAACAGGCCTCTTGATCCTTGGAAAATCAATAATTCATATAAGTTTGGGATATTTAAACATCAGTTCGATAAATCACTGTTAAGGAGAGCCCAAAACGTTTCTCTCCACTTTGAAAAAAAATAAACAAAAAAAAAAGACAAAAGCAAAAAAGGAACGACATCTCAACGGAGAAACTAAGATTTTTTATTTGAGTTCTCTGAGTTTCCCTGAGTAGGAGAAGAGATGGAAATAGCCTATTACGAGTGTGCTTGTAACATTTGTTTACTTTGTATGGTCGGTTATGAATTTCATCATTGCTTCATATTCAAGTTCACTTGTGTACTGGATGAAATCGTCTTCGGACTTGGTCAAATACAGATAAACAACTGGTAACTTTTCTCCTTCCTGAAGAAATGACAGAGAGAAGCAAATGATAAGCTTTCAAAATATTAACTCTTGAAATGATTTCCTGCTATCGAGGTTAAAATATACTGATCAATTAATTGTTCCCTGACCTGGCGCGAGACTTTCATCAAAATAAATCACTTATAAATCCAAGACTATATTTTTATTGGGAGTGGAGAGTAATCCGGAATTGCTTTCGTTTCGCTTTTCTTTTTCCGGTGATTGGTCTAGAAAACTCACGCCACCTTTTCAACTAATCAGGTGCAATACTAAAATTGATCAACATTTGTTCACTCGCGTTTTCCCGCGCTTCGAGCGGTTGACAAGTCTTTGTATTAAGTTGGCTTTTTTTCCTTATAATTTCCTCTGTTCGCCTAAATGGCTTTCACTATAAATTTAGTTTGGTTCTGCAACTGCGTATCGATATTCCATACATCGTAAATAAACAGCTGCCTAAACCTCGACAGACGAAGTGAATCATGCCAAAGTCTTCTTGGATTAAGAATTAACGAGTTGAGTAGGATTCCGTTACGCTTTCAACACAGATTTCAAAGAACAATCGCTTAACTCCAAAAACTTACAAACATCTTTTTCTGCCGCGTGGTCTTGACATATGCAAAGGTTATTCTTCCCTCTCCACCCCTATCAAAAGTGCGAACGATACGTCGTAACGTTCTGGAAAATTTCTCACAGGGTTCGTGGTCTACGAAAAAAAAATAAAATAAAATAAACACAAAAATTAACAAAGTTGAAATCTATCGTCATGTGCACGCCATAAACAAGGAGAAACCAGCAAGAGGTGCCATTTTCAGGCAAGACTTAGAGGTGTGTGATGTATTCAGGAGAGATGTTAGTTTAAGTATGTGACTCATGAATAAAAGCAGTTAAAGTTGCTAAAGCAGTAAGCAAAACATTAAAACTGTCATTCCGAGTTAAATTGTACTTACAAGATGTTTCAAGAATGCGTTGAAATGCTGTAGGCATGTCGGAAGGTCAAAGATTTTCAAGGATGGCAAAAGTTATATGTGTAAAAGTCAAGAATTTGAAGCTAAAGTTGGAGCGTTTCTCTAGGCGCAGGCCGAAAAAATCGATCACAGGCGTCTCTCTTACGTATTCAAGCAAGCGAGAGCCTCAGCGAAGCGCGCGAGATATGAGAGTTGCGCGCGAGAGAGTGGCGCGTGACTCTTCGCGCTCTCCTCGCGCTCTCCTCGCGCTCACCTCGCGCTTGCCTCGAAAAAGTACATAAATGACGACTATTTAGTACGCTGGTCAGAAATACATTCAGACTCGAACTTTAGAAATTTAGTGCACATGTGCATGTAAATCTCAGTAATTAGTTACCTTCCTTGCAGAAAACTACCATCAAAAAGTCCAGCGCAAAGAGATAGTTCGTATCCAGGCTTTTCATAGCGTCTTTGTAGCTTGCGTATGTGAGCTTCTGAAGAGACGAGGCCTCGGCTAAATGAATCAATATATCAATCAATCAATAAAACACAGTAGATGAATCTTCATTGGTGTCAATAGTCATCAGGGATTGCATTGTTTTTGCCTCATTACGCTCTGTGATTGATCAAGTAAACTGATGTCATTCCCTCAACCAATAAGATGCAACTGTAAAATCAACCTCGACTTGGTTTTCCGAGTTTTCCCGCGCTTAAGGCCGATCACGTGAATTAAATTGAGTTCTGATTGGTTTCCTAGGATTGTGATCTTATTGGCTGTTGCAATAACCCTGTACTTTAGCCTCTTGTTAAATGAAACCTCTTCAGAAAGCGCTCCAAGATATAGTGAGGGCATCTGAATACGCGAGATCGACTCCCTTACCTGGCAGTAGCCTTGCAAGGCACTCGGCAAGCAAAAACAAATAATTGGGCCAGTAAAATATGGCAGACCTCGGCTAATTTGGTAATTTGGCTGAAAGCTCCCCTAAGCGGACAGCTTAATGAGTTTTAATCAAATCTTCATTATTCCCTCAAAACAGTCAGATTCGAAATTGTGGTGATCACACATTCTTTTTCTCCTGTGCAGTGAACAATCAACCGCTATCATAATAACGCAGTTCTCAAACTACCGAGGGACTTTTATGCGCCTGTATAGAAGATGCCTGTTTCGTTTTCAATCTTTCATTAAATTAACAACTTTGGAAATAGGTTATTAATACAAAAAACGTTGAGTTTACTCTTACCAATTCTGTTGTACTCAGCAGTAGGATTATCTATCAAAGGTTTGATGAAATGTTTCAAATTATTTAAAGTAAATCTTGCGATATTTTCAGGGAACAATTCTATATATGTCTAAGGGAATGAAAAAAAAGGACAATTGGTTAGTTAAAGAAGATAAGTGTATAAAAGGAAGAAAGAAACTCGTGTACTTTCCTAAGTGAAACAAGAAAAGTGGGATTAAAAAAACAAATATAAAAACAAACGAACAAACAAACAAAGCAATAATAATATTTTTAAAAGCACAGTACTGTGTTGAGAACCAACCTATTGGAATTTGAAAAAAAATTCATGGAGGCTTTTTCTTGAAGACTTCCTCTTACAGTTATCAAAATGAGTCCAGCTTACGGTACTTAACACACAGAACTATCCCTCCTCAACCTTAGTGGTTTATGAGTAGGCCTTGATAACTAGCGCTTTGGCAAGAAATTTTCTTTATGCGGACAAAAGTACGAGGCCAGGAGCGGCGAGAACTGGCGAGCGGTCTGGTACTGATTATTGGTGCCAGACCCCCGGTAGACCATTCCCCGACTCGTCTCAAATCTTTCCGCGGGCCGAGAAACGCGCATCCTGCAGCGCTAATAATAACATCCTGCCCGCAAGCTACAGTCTCTTTAGCAGTCGCTCTTTAGGGTGTCACGCAACTTGCTGACAGTACTGCGTGACATACCAAACAGACCAAACAAAATTCAAGAAACTATATGTTACGAGAGTGTGATTTATCTCGTTATAAATGCAAATACCCTGTTATCACCATCTCCCTTTGCTGCTACAAAAGCTGCTGTTGGAAAATTGCTGTCTTGGGCCAAACCAAACGACGCTAACATGTCTTTTTGGTCATTTCTGCAAAGAGAGAAATTTAAAAAAAAAACAACATTAATTTGTGTAATACAACAATTGTATCAATCTCTCTCCAAAAGCCCCCGTTCACTTTACCAGCGGTCGTTACACTGGACAAACGTTGCAGGGGCTCTAGGAATGAACGTGAGGAGAATTAAGAAAAATATCAATTGGGGGATTAGTTGATCCAATACCACATTCTCCGAACCAGCCTCTACAGAAATGTATGGCAGACAGTAAAGAGAATTACTAACAAGATCTTAGTAGGGAAAAGTTATGAAGTGGGGTTGGTTACATAACTTAAACCAGCCAAAGAGTCACTTCTGTGAGTCTAAGAAAACGAATCAAATCAATGTCCATATTTGAAAAACTGCGCACCTACCCTTCCCCTAAATCAACCTTAACCCAAACTTGTTATCAGTTGACTGGTTTTGGGTTAAGGGAGGGGTGGGTATGCAATTACTCGGATACTGACATTAATCTAAGAAAAGGAGGGAGGGGAGGGGTGGGTATGCAGTTGTTCAGTTACTGATATTAATCCTACCCCTAAACCAACCTTAACCCAAACTCGTTATCAGTTGACTATTGTTGGGTTAGGGGAGGGGTGGGTATGCAATTACTCAGATATTGACATTAATCCAAGAAAACTTACACATTGACAAGTATCACTCCAATAGCACCTTGAAACTCTAGAGCCATTTGCTCAATCTCCTTTGTGTCAAGATCAGCAACTTTATCCGTGAATACAAACAATTTGTCGACAGGGGGTTGCAGGGAGTCAAACACAGTTGATCTGTTACTTGGAAGAATTACCTGCAAGAGGCATACAAGAATTGCTCAAAAATAGTGAAGTCAGCTTACAAGCCATTGATGGCATATTTTCTTAAGATTGTACCAGTTTAAGCAGCATAAAGCAACAAAGAGTGTGGCTATGCCACCCCCCTTCATCCCTTGGAGACAGTCAGTGCAACATCACCCTCCAGCACTTGGTCAAGTTATCTTAACAGTTAGCCAGTCCCCATTTATACACCTAGGTGGAAAGAGGCACTGTCAACATATACCATTGTTTTTTACAAGAACACAACACAATGACCTGGACAGGTCTTGAACCAGGACCTTCTGATCCTGAGTCCAGCAAGTTAACCATTAATGAAACCCTTTTCTTTTCTTCCCAGCATCAAAGTTTGAGTAAAAATTTATTACCAAATTAACAAGCACATCCCAATGACCCAGCATAGCCTTAAACCTAGAGAAAACTTGGTTACTTTGTGTCCCAATTATCAAATACCTTGCTATTGGTCTATAAAAACCAAGTGAGGTACAAATATCTCCCCAGGACCTAACCATGATCAAACAATGACAAATAGATACTGACCCTCCTTTTGTGATTTGAGAGTCTCTTTTGGGATAGAACTCCCTTAAAGTTTGCAAAATATCCCAGAGAAAAAGCAATTTGGATTTTTTTGTGAGTGGGAAGGCCTAGACACATGAAGCAGTAAATCAATCTCGGCAACAAGTCAAGGAGACAAGTTGACATCACAATTTCCATGGTGTAAAAAAGTGAATTTGTAAAAAATTCTCATTGCTGCCATAGAGTTTTGTCACAGCAATCAACTGAAACAAATTCAAACATGGTTTAAAAGAGATAAAACAAAGAAAATTTTACTCAGAGTCCATAAACAATTGTGTGAGTTATCTTTTCCCAGATAGTTGAATAAATTTTTTGGTTTTAACTCTCAAGCACCCATGTTAATGAGCGCGGTTTATGGGATGAAACAGATACAAATTGGCAAGAAAAAATTGTTTAGGGCATGAGTTGGGAATATAATCTAAATTCTCCAGACATTAGCATCACCAGAAAAACTTTTTATTAGTATCATTAAACAGGTACTCACATATTTCGGAAGTTCTTGGCTCCTAACAAATCTTATCAATGGAGTTTTTTCAACTTTTCCTGTAAACTTAGTGGATGGGCATCTGCCTTGGGTATTTTTCATTTGTTTACAGTGAAAAAGATATACAGCTGCCTTTTGGTTCGTGAAGAGACTGTTTGTAAAGATCAGACAAAATAATTGAGATCAGTAACTTGCAAAAAAATCATCAAAGAGGCTAAATATGGGAAAGTGCTTATAGCTTACAGGGGTAATTCCAGAAATTGAAGAGTATCAAAATGGAGGATATGTGCATGCTGTTAAAGTTTAGCAACCCTAAATTCAAGCCCCACAAATTTCCCCTTAAAGTAATACAGCTGAATCATTCATTAAGATCATGAAAATAAAGGAAATGATCACCAACTGAGGAAGCTTGATTGTTTAAAAACAAATTCTCCAGCTGGCGTCTAAGGAAATGTATGAAGAATGTTGAGGAAAAAATTTTAACTGCATATACAGTAGAAATGCTAATTACTATCAAAATGAGGTATCTCAGTTTGCTTATCTACAGTATGCTAATTTCTCAGGCCAGTGGCCATAACACATTCAATAAAAATTCAATTCCACTATTTATTTTGATCACAAAAGATGCATTTCAAGATGAGCAATGTGACTCTGTTCTGATCTAGGACCTCCACAACAACATGAACAACACAATCCCAAAGCAATGTTTAAAGCACAAAGACCTGTACCGCCTAACAGAATTTTCTTCACTAACCCAATTTTCTTCACCAATTCTTCATCTGTTGTGAGACCAAAGAACACCTCGTTTTTAAAGTAATGTACTAATTCAAGGAAGTGTCGATGTTCTGTTTAAAGAAAAAAGAAACCAACTGCTAAGCATTGTGTATACTCAACCTGAAAATGAAACACTAACAGCAATACCACGTCACTAATTTACCAACTAATATATTCAAAAAAATTTTCAAATACTTCTGAAAAAACACTCAGTAGCTATTAATAGTATGATACTGTGTCATGAGATGGCCAAAATATTCATCAGATACTTTTGGGCCACACTGAGAGTATCTTTTCACCAGCATTTGATAATTTTAATTCAACAAATCATAACTTGTGAATGTGTGGTTGGGAAACAATGTTGACATCTTGAATTTGAATGCAATGCTCTAAGAGCTTGCTTGAAAATTCTGAAAGGTATCCAAAGAGTATTTAGTTAGGGATTTAAATGAAGTATTTTTCAAAAGTAAGCCAAGAGTCTCCCACTAGGTACAAAAGGAATCCTGCTGTCTGCAGTATAGTTTGTTACTATATCTTATTATTAAAAATTTCAGATCTCAAATATCATTGTCATGGTAACTTGGTGAATTTCTTTCCATTTTGGATAATCTGCAGCCATTTTTCAGTATTCAGTCTGTGGAGAGAGATTAGTTCTAGATGACCTAGCTAAGAGGCAAATGGAAATGGAGATAAAAGGGGACTTGATTGAAAATCAAGCAATTTAAGGTTTCATATTTCCAGAAGGTGGCCTCTTTGTATCCAGCAAATAAGTATAAAAAAATGGAGACAGTGACTTTCAGGGTAAAAATTGTGAAAAAAAGTTGCTGCAAGTGGAACTGGAAAAATTTGGCAAATCATATAGTGAAGTTGCACAATTTTTTTCCTTACGGTTGTGACAGGAAAGTAAAGGAAAATCTTTGTTTTAGATGGTAACCTGAAGCAGGTTTTAAGACTTCCAGGTGTTGCACAAGGATTAAAAACATTTATATTTACAACTGTTAGACTGGGTTGGATTTTCAATTCTTCTGTGCTCAAATATTAACAACAGACTGTCAAACAAACAAAGTCAATTTGTAACATTCATGCCTGTGAGACAGGACCCCTTGACAACTGGAGCAAGAGGTTTTAATTTACACTTAATTGTGAGGGGGTGATAAGACAGGTGTTGGTTATGAAGAAAAAAAAACTAGGGTCACCTTTTATTCCTAGTCCTTTGACATAACAGAGGACGACATCTTTATATCCCTGTTCTACAGCAAGAACTCTATTAAATGAGTCTTCGTCAAAAATGAAATAGTATTGATCAGTTAACACAGACCTGAAATAAAGACATGAACAGAAAAAAAGACACAGATTAACCCTTAGAGAGTGACATGTGTCCAGCTTCTCCTTACAATACCACCCATGAATCAAACATTTAGGTCATGAGAATAAAGGAGTTGATCACCAACTACAGAAGCTCTTGATTATGAAATTAATTCTCTGTGTCAACACCCTGTGAAATGTATAGAGAACAGTATGGAGAATATGTATGTTGATCTTTAGGTGTAAAGGATTAGGGATAACATACTGGCCTTCTTGTTTAAATACAGGCCCTGAAATTGCTATACCACAAACACAATGCTGCCAGAAAGATGAGTGAACACAAAACATACCACACTTTGCCCTGGATAGAGTCATACATTGTGCTTGACAGATTGTAGACTGCACTGATGCTTATTTCAAACAGCTAGAGGTTGTTGAAACAATTGTTCAGTGGAATCTTTCCCTGGGATCTCAATACAAATTCTCCCTACTATCTGCCACACTTTACTTATAATTCTAACTGTAAGAACTTGATACTAGATCAGACAAGAATCCATAAGGGATGTTTTTAGTACTTCTTAACAAATTTCTGCTGGACAGTGTAATAATATTATAAGGAGAAACTACAGTTTGATCACTGGTGATAGTAAAAAGGTCAAAAGGCCACACATTTAAAGGATTTTAAAAAAAAAGAGAGAAGAATTAAGTTGTATTTAACAACTATAATAAGGTCAGTCGTTTTCCTGAATATCTGAATATCTGTATGTTTGACTTTAAGGAAACCAATTAAATGTCTTTCGTAATAACTATTACATAATTGCAATTTGTTGGTTTTGAAAACAGCTATATTGAGTAAAAATAATTAACAAATTTTGGATGACAAATTATTACCAGCCTCTGAAAGCTCCAAAATGTCTGCTATTTTTTTTCCAAGAAATTTATATCACAGAAAACTAATATATGAAACCTAATATATGGGCAAAATCATATTATACGCAAAAACCACCTGCAGGTATTGAAAGAACAGGATTACAAAAGACAAACAAAGGCCTTCGATTTTTATGAAAAATACAAGTCGCAACAATATAAAGTGTGGAAATTAAACAAAAGAAAATGTTACACGTTCCGATTGCCAATTTCCAAAATCAATAGATACTTCTTCTTTTAAATTCATCCAAGCTACAGGGAGTTAAAAATGAATCTTTAATGTCGAATTTAGAAACAAACCACGTGCGGTTTTCTCACACTCATAATCTCTCGGCAAGCTTTATGATACTTACTGTAAGAGGTTAGCCACGATCGAATCTTCGTCGAACAAGTGGCTGACATCGATTCCTTCTGAAGGAATCGGATCGCCCTTCCTGGTCAAATTAATAAAATAAATTTCGAGTCAAAACGTTGATGGTTTTGCGATAACTTCAATGCGACACAATACGCGTTTATAACTTAATTTCTTGAAAGCATTACCTGTAAACGAAAATGTTTCGTTCCTTATTAGAACATTGAGAAATGGACTCTTCTGCACAGTTTACCTGCAATTCGATTGCAAACATGATGTGTTTGAAATAGTTTCGTTTTAGTTGTAATCTAGAGGGAAGTAATTGGGAGCAACGATAATTTTGTAAAATATTGATTAAGTCTAGCTGCGGTTCGGTTTAAAAAGCGTAAAATAGTCTTCACCTTGCATAATTCAATTCCAAATGACTCTAAAATGTCCGACGATTTGTCAAATTCTTTGGCAAACTTTGGATTCCCCTGTCTGATAGCTTAGACAAAATATAACACAATTCATAAATAACTACATTTAACGAAAACAGGAAATAAACAGAGTGAGTATTACTTAATACTTGCCTAAAGGCGATAAAAGCTTCAATAATCATGAGAGGAGGTAAACTTACATGGTTTATCAAAGAAAACAGCAATGTAATCTTGGTTCGTGGATTCCCCAATGTTTTTCAAGTCCTCTGAGGTAAGTTTTCTGACAGGGCTAACTCCAAGTACAGCGATGTGAAGACAACAAATTAGCAAAAATAGATACAAATTCTCCAACGTCATCTTCCTTTGGAGCTAAAACAACTTATGGTAACTCTTAACGAGTTATTACAACCTATGCTCTCTGAAAGTCTTCCCTTGTTTAAGTATCACGTCCCTGTCTCAGTTTATGCTCCGTAACTGTTAGCCTCGACCAATAACGGGAAGACTCGTAATAAAATGTATTCTGTAGTCTCAGCGCCAACATCGACCGAAGTAAGGTCTTTTTCACGTGTCGTCTCGATTTTTTTCAGAAATCCGTTTCTTCTAAGGCAGGTGGCTTTTTGAATATAACTGCTTTGTCTTAAACACGATTGTTCACGTAATGAGAAAGAAATCTGCATTTTACGAGGCGATTTATGCACAAAAGATTTGCGGATGTTTGATATTCACTTGAATGAGTTTCTGTCACGCATGCCTGAAAGAAAGTGTACGATTGTCGCGCATGGCGTGACAATACTTGATTTCGTATGAGATGGAGAAAGCTCTCTTTCTTGATCTTCTTCTTCTTCATCATCATCAGACCAACCGAACTTATCTTTGTTTATAACATTATTTCATATTCATCACTACTTAATGGCTATTGATCATGTGTTCTCTGAAAACTACAGGAAGTTTTAACACGCTTGCGATTAGCGTCTGAGCCGGAAGTATACGAAATTTCCAAAGAAATTAATTGTTTCCTCAAGCTATACTGTTTTGGCCTCCAGTTTTTTGTTTGTGTTGGCGATCACTTACTTCAAACTACAAAGTTTTATCAGCCAAAACCAAAGAGGAGCAATGCACTGCTTTTCTCGTAAATTTTTCAACGGTCATCAGGTTGCTAAGTGAGATAATGCCCTTTCAAGTTTCATGTGATCAGTTGATCGGCTAATCCCTCAAATGCACGCCATGATTTTTTTCATGGAGAAAATTCCTCCTATTTTTTTTAAAGCTCATTGTTGTTTACAAGTCTTAGCTAAACTAGCAGCCTACAAATAAGGAATCGTTGTGTGACACCTAGAAAAAGGACCGTTGCGTTACATCTTAAAACGAAGGCTGCGAATTGCGAAAGAGAGCAGATTGTTGTTCATCTCGGATTTCAACATTTGACTGTCGTTAAAAAGACAAAAGTACATCTGTTTAATGTCGTACACACCCCTAAATAAACATCAGCTACAGTTATTGGAGACGACCAAGATTAGTCTATTGTCTTCACTTTCGGGGGCAAAATGCGAAGGTCTTGTCTACTCTTGTCTCCACAAGTAGTTAAGTTATTCAGTTTAACGCCACATCCAAAATATTTGTAATGGCCATCAACAATAACAACAATATTCTCCGGAAATTATCGTCGGAGAGAGCCAGAGGATATTACCAGCTGAATGATGAAGAACCTACCTATACAGCGCGATATCTCGGAAAGACAAAAGTGGTAGAGTTTTTGCGGCCCGAAAATGGACTTTCGGTGAGTGCAAGATGCGTAGACAAACTACACGATGGTGTTCAAGGAAAGGGGAAGAAACGCAAGGTTTCGATTTTGATATCGTCAAATATCTCCCGTGGAATCACAGTCACTGACCAAGGTCCGGGAGTCAAGGAAGAAGTTTGCCATAAGTTGTTTGACATTGCTTACTGCTGTACAGACATGCGAAACAAAATGATATTTTCTTTCATCGCCGAACAACAAGGAGAACTCCAATGTCATGCGTTTGTTTTTAAGACAGAGGAAACGGCAAAAGCAGTTTGCTTGGCGCTTGCAGATGCGTTTAAAACCGCTCACGAAGAATGGATACGAAAACAGAAACACTAGAAGGCAGCATAAAGAAGGAGAACGTTATTTCTGTTTCTTAGAGTTCTCGTTCTGCTTTAGCATTAACGATGAGTCAAGGCAGAACTCGACCGGCTCAAGAACACGGATTTTTTAACTTCGTAGCGGGCTAAAAACGTAAACTAGAGACAACTCCCCGCTGACTGTTGAACGAAGGTCAGAGATTTTTATCATACCGTAGTTTAATTTTTATTTCAGTTTCATCGAAATCTGTTGAATACTTCCACCAGAGAACCTCAAAAAGTCAAGTTTTTTCTTCTTGTAGGCTAGGAGGCCGTTACATGGCACGTAACAGATTAGGAATGCAGTATTTGCCCGAGGAAGTTCATGAAATATTTTAGTTTTGAAACAATGGTCGATTAGGGTCGGGCCAAGGCAAAAGGCCACTGAAATTTCTCACGTCAAGGAAATTCGCATCTTTTGATTAATGCAACGTAACGAGGGGTGGTAAATTCACGGTTCGCTAGATGTTTCGTTCACTTCGTTAAACTTGGAACACTTTCTCTTTCTTTCCATGCCCGATCGAAACCTTTATCTCGTGACTAAAGGAATTTAATTTTCAGTTACTGTATAGTGAAATCCAATTACGTCTAAACGATCAAAATCACACAGAAATTTACGGTATGGACAATTAATACTCGAGCGGTTTTCATTGCGAAACATTTATCTTAGAGCTTTTGATGTTCGTGAATTTTACAAAAATTGTCAAAACAGTAAAAAAGTAATATGATAAGTGTTACGAAATCTGTTCGAGTAAACAAACTGTGGTAGATTGGTTAATTAAAAAAAAAGGCGAATGAAGAATTTCAAAGCATGAACATTGTTCAACTGTTTATTTTAAAAGCAAAATATTTTAACTAGGTCAGCAAAAGAAACAAACTTTCTATTATGCACTTCATTTTGCGACCTTGTTCTTTCATGACTCGTCTTGATGATTCGTTTTGAAATTCGAACAATATTTGGCAGCTGTTCTTTGAAATGTCACGCGCAATGTTCTTTTAGGGAGGGGACGCAGAGCGACATTCCAAACGCGGCTGAGGAAGACCATAGCGACTAGCTCGGTAAAAACGCAATTTTCGAGGCGCTTTCAGCTTTCTTGACGCACACAAAAAAACAGCTCCATGAGTCATTGTATACTTTCATATGCGCCATGCCCACTATGAAAACTAATCTAGAGTTTAATTAAAAAAAGAAAAAAGTCTTTTGTTCCTTCGGTCTGGCACGTGACCTACGGAAAGTCCCAAGGTCACTTGGGAATCGTCGGACGGAACGGGGGTCTAGCAACGAGGTTGCGTGAGATATTTAAAATTTTCTGAAATAAAGGTCATTAACCGCGTGATCATGATCATTTTAGTCACAATCTAAATCTCTATTATCTACTTACGATTGATAAACCTCGCCCGTTTGGAAATCGGACTGAAATATTGTGTCACGTAAGTTTATATGTCGACAAGATCATTCTCAGCAGCTTCAACACTCAGCTTCAACATCCCTTCCTAGGCAACTCACGGGGATTTGACCGTTGTCCGTGCTCGAGAGGTGGAACGTTACCTAGCTGAGGTGGGAAATTTGAACCAAGAGTGTCAAGTCTTTCCATCGCAATACTGGTATATCATATCTTTTAATATGGAGGTGTAAAACGTTCCACTTTCGCGAGCGCGTTGAAATTCTCTGTCGCCGATTTCGCCCTTTGCAAAAAAATTGACCATCAAATCCGGCACTTGGATAGATAATTTGAGCACAGTTTTTGCCCCCAGGCAGTGATAATTTGAACAAATCAATCTTCAAAAATCAAATATAAGGGGGGCGGATTGCCCGTGGGGAATATTGAAGCTTCGAAATGATCGACACAAACTTGATTGGACAAAAAGCATAGCAAAAATACAGGGAAAGAGAAACTCCCCTTTTCTTAAAACAGGAATATAGTTCTGGCTAACAGTAAACGCTAAAATAAATATATCACTCTTGATATCGAATTAATGTTCTGATTTTTGTAAAGCCACTTGTATTAAATCTCAGGATGCGCAACCACAAAAGTAAGTTCCAGCGGAAGTAGTGACAAAAAATAACCAAGGGAGGGGAGGGATGATAGCTTAGCCGTACGCTATCTTTTGGCTTTCTTGAGTCTCTCCACGTTAAATTTTTCTATCAGCTCCGCTTGTACTTGTTGTGAGGCGGGCAAGTATTTACAGTATTCCATTGTGAATTCACCTTTTCCCTAGAAAATTTGAAATATAATAATTTGAGATCATTGTGTCTTACTTCATTTCTTCAAGGACCAGTTTATATTCATCACCGAAACGAGAAGGGGAGAAAGAAAGGATTTTCTTTGGGTGTCACATGGTTTTCGGGGGGGGGGG